GAGTTTGAGTAATTGATATATAACTCGCATCACGTTTTACACCCTTGCTGCCTGACCAGCAAGTTACGTGCCGCGCCTTCTGCACACAGCCAGCCAGTCTGACTCTTCATGTAGCCTGGCAGGCTCCCAACGAGTAGCTCGATGCCCTACAGACTTGTCAACGGCAACGCAACGCGCGCTGCATGTGCAAAGGCGCAAGAGAAGACATTTCTCGCGTGAAACCCTTCGCAGAAGCACAGGCAACTTGGCATTGAATTGAGACGGCCAAGGACCCTGAAGAGGAGAACGCATAAATCCCAACCTGTGAGCAGCCAGTGAACCTGCTGGCTCCATGAACAGGAATGCTTAGAGCTCCATGCAAACTGTAAGGGCTTCAACCATGAGCTACCCTGAAACGAGGTCAAGCCTTTGCAATTGTGTCAAGAAAGAGACTCATGTTAAAAAAGACAAAAGTAGCTGGAAGGCGCTTCCGGGGCCAATTCGATTTTACTTCCCCCCTTTGAAAGTGAGTGCTCAAACTAAAGGACCCCCCTTCCCCCAAGTGGGTGTCGTGGTGTCGTCCCTTTGCTTTCCCGACCAACGAAGAAAGGCGTAGCCTCGATCAAAGACACGAGCCCGTCCGGCCTTCAGGCACCGGATCGGGCTCGGGGCAAAGCAGGCTGCAGTTGGGCCGCTCGTAGATGATCTGGGCCAAGGGGTCCACATTCCTCAGATGCAGAAAAGCCTAGGCCATGCCTTCCATAAACGGAGCCTTGCAGGGCCCACTTTTGGCCAATCGGGTGTGCAAAAAGGAACTTGCGGTTCGGGGGCAAGTTGAACTTGAGAAGTTTCGGATCGAAAGCTTGTTGTTGTGAGCCGGAGAAAGCTTGGCTTTAAACAAAAACGTGTCCAAGAGCACTAACGCCCTCGCTTGGCCGCATGCAGAAAAAAACATATTTTAACGACCGCATGACGTCCACGGTGTGATCCAGAATCCTTGTGCACTGGACAAGCCAAACTCTATAGCATGAATCTTCCAGTACAGTAATAATTGATGTAGAGGTAATACAGCAAAGCTGTTGCAAACTCATTTCCTCTGCAGAAAACGCACAGGGCGGTAAATACAGATGTGTTTTGTTTATGTGTTCGGTGGAACAAACATGGCTGCCCGTCTGGAGTTGGGAAACAAACGCGATCCCTTGCTCGGCAGTGCTGCGCCAACATAAACCAACAGAACAACACCAAGTAATACCACACCACTAAACAAGTTGTCAAACAAGTTGAAGCTAACTAAGATAAAACAACATATGTTATTTGAATGAACAAACATGTGCTTGTGTCTATGCAGCAAACCGTCTGCAACCCAAATTTCTTGATCAGCAAAACCAACTGAGGCTCCAAATATCCAAGCCTTGTATGACAAAATGTCAAGCGGCGGTACGGAAAAATGTGCTTATGTTCCAGGGAGGAACATATAGAATAAAAGAAGGTCGCTGAGCCAGCACAAAGGAATACTGAAGCCATGCTAAAGCAATTCTAAACCGTACTGGGCAAGCTCAGGACTTAGTGGCAGACTAGACTGCAGGCCCAACTCTGACCCTAGTTTGTTTTAGGTTTCTCTCCGTTGACCCCGTATTTGTTTGGGGGCTGGGCGTTTACGAATCGCTGCCTCACATTACTGATTTGACTTTGCAACAAGCTGGGAGTTGTATGTGCGAATCTTCACTGTAGCATCTGTTTAACTGTGGGCTGCATTCAGGTTGCCGCTTTCAACTCTGTCAGCTTCGGACTAGTCGGGAGAACCACAATTTCTAGTCAAGGGGAGTTCCCCTTTCAGAAAACAATGCATTGCAGCGGGATTGCTAGGATAGCATGGCCCTCCGGAATCTGATGTGCAGGGGCGGCCGAACCCAACTCGTCCGAGCTGATCGGCCCGGCTGAGTTCAAGCGGGCGACTGTTTGCGTGAGCAAATGAACCCTGAACTCCGGGTGTTGCCAAAACTAGGAGCCCCCAAAATGGGCAGCTTCCTTTTGGCTTCCCTTCCCAACATGCCACAGGAAATATAAACGAACCAATCAGTCGCGCTCAAACAGTTGCACAAATCCAAACCCTTCCCCCAAACACACATGGAAACGTAAATGTCCTGAAATCTGACGGGTCCTGGTAGATTCCTTAGGGTTTCAGCCGCCGATTTTTTGTGTTTAAATCGGGCAGGCGTCTAATTTGGAGGGATGGGAAGCCAAGACCTAACACCTTCTTGGTTGCATTTCCTCCATTTGTCCACCTGTTCACTTGCCAGTTGTTTGCTGCGGAGTTGAGTGTCAAACAATCAAAACCTATCCAGCCAAGAGCACGGAAGAAACCTTATCATTAGCTCAAAGCAATGGCCGAAGGCATGTTCGCCCTACCACTTCTTGGCGCCGACTGGAGATTCGCTGGGCGGTGGGTGGGTGGGTGCGTGGGTTGCTTGGTTGCTTGCTTGCTTGGTTGGTTGGTTGGTTGGTTGGTTGCTTATTTTGTTGTCTGGTTCTGAGTTTGTTCTTTTGTTACGACCATCTTTGCGCCTTCGTGGCCTCACATTTCCTCGCTCCCCTTGAAAAAGTAACAAACAAAAGCCGTACTATGAGATGGATGTTTTTCCGAGCGTCAGATCAGGGCAGGAAGCGTTCGTCATGTCGCCTCGCGCCAACCCGCTCATTAGAGCGGCTGTGGAAGCGATTCCAGGGTGGGCTACAGGGTAACCCAGCGAATCAAAGGGCATGAGGTCTCTGTTCAAACCTTTCAGCTGCAAAAGTCCCAACCTCTGAGGTGCTTGCCAGAAGTACAAAAAACAACTCGTTGCAACAACTCGCTGGACCGCTGCACTATTCGTCCACGCAACGGTTCCATCTCAATAGAACACAAGAGCCCCGCACAATCGGATTAACATCTCGAAGCTGAGGCTGTGCGAGTCAGCCTGACACACATATGTTTAAACCATGCGGGGCAGCGTAAGGAGCATTGTTGCGAAGTCTCCTCGTGGGAATATCACCTTTGTCTGATTTCTGTAATTTCAATGACCTCACCATGTCTACAACCCACAAATTACGAGGCGCCAAATAAGCCATGCTCAACGTATGCGCGTACCCAAACGGACATGGGATGGTCAAGGCTCGTCCTGGCTCGTCCGTCTGTTTTTCCCAGGCTGCTTAGATGGTCCGAACGCCAAACCAAAACAACGACCACACTTTCCAAAGGCATCGGCCGCAAGTGGCTCGCTTCGCCAACGCCCGACCCCTGGCTCCCCTTTGCAAAAGGTGGACTTCCTTCACCAATGGTCACATTGAATCCGCAGGCAGTGACAGTGTACAAGGTCGCACATGCAAAGCGAGGTGGGGAACTTGTGGTGCTCTTTCTACCAAGCGCAACACCAAAGTAAGTGTCTGAACAAATGGCTGCACAGGTTGCATGCTGCAATACTGGTCCAGCTTATTTGGGGGCAGAAAGTTGCTTCTTCCAATCGATTGACTTTTGCAAACAGAGCGGCAATGGATCTAAGCAAAAGCAATTGAAGGACCCATCACTGGCTCAAACAACTTACACTATATAGAATATACGTATATATCATTGGCTGTTTACGAAGAGCTTGGGGTGAGCTAACTTGGCAAGGTCAGATTGAGAACCTACGAGACACCGGGCGTCCGGCTTGCTCCCATCCCGTGTCCGCTGCCTATATAGGGATCTGCACAGCTCACGTTGCAGCTTGCGCCCGGCATCAGCATATCGCAGCCTGCGAGGCAGAACCTTTGGACATCGGAGTCATGCAGGCGATTCCCTGTGGGATTTCGGAACCATTGTTGGACATGGGTATTTTGGGGGCGATTCGGCCAACTCATGGACGCGTACACGTGCAAAGGTGTGGGCGCAAGTTGAGGAACCCTTGGCTTGCGCGAAAGTTAGGGAGGAAAGCAACCAGCACAACTAGCTGGTCCAAATTGAAGGACAAACTCATACTCGAGGAAACAACAAGGCGAGACTAACTATTGAGAGGTCCTCGACAGAGCATACTACTATGTCCAGTGTTTGTTCTTGCAGGTGTATATTATGTAGCGAGGCAAGTGCAGTTCTACAACATCGTGCTGGTGCGCAGCTGACCTTGGGCTAGGCTCAAGTCTCAAGACTGAAACGCTGAAAGCCTACACACACATATGAAACAAAGCTGAAGTTGATTGAATTGACAGTCCCTTGACATCGAGCATGCAGAAGTCAATCCCCACATTAAATGGAATTCATTCAGGAACGGTGTAGATGGTGTAGAGAGTCCCCTTCTTGAGAACACCTGTTTTGCCCTCTCTTCACAACACAGGAAGTAGGCTTACCGAAGGAGTTTGTGGCAAAGCCTTTTGTGGGATTGGTTCTGTGCTCAGCGAAGGTGAGCTGAGCAAACGACAATCACCGGCCACATCCAAGGCTGCACCTGTGAAGTTGTACTGGCACACGTCGAAGGACCTGCCGCAGCCGACGTGAGACTGCGAAGAAGTTCAAATGGTTGACTTATGGCGTCAAATACATCTGTGCCAAACAAATTGATGTATACGCCGGGGAAAAAAACAGAGAAAAACAAGTACATACATACATAAATATCACCCTGAAATGCTTTTTACCCCAAACGCCTTTCATCTGATTCCCGCAAACTCTACACCCCTCTCAACAAATCCGGCAGGCCTGGGATCTGGGGAGAGGCAGGGCAAAATGGGCATACATCCGGTGATCAGAAGCAGCGCGTTGCAGCTGACGTCCACGGTGCAAGTAGTGACCTCCGTCGCTTTCTTTGTTTCTGACGCACGGGTTTCAACCAGAGCTGTCCATACAAGCAGCACACTATGACATCAGGCGGTGTGCAGTGCTTTGTCAGACGTGACCACTTTTCCCGACGGACAAAGCAAAGGGTGAACTGTGATTGGAAACCTTGAGGAACATGTCATTCGGTCATGTATTTGCCAGGTGGCGGCAAGCCTTCGGGCTTCAATCAAGGCTACTAACGTGACTGTCTCAAAGTGTCCTGTCGCTCCCTTTGAAGCCGCTTCTATTAGTCAAAGGGGTTTCAGGACACATATGGGTAGCGTGTGTTTTGGGCATTCCAACAGAGGCTGGAAGCCTGGTGCACCTCATTTCGGGTTTGATCAAAAAGCCTTTTACACACAACCGCGGAAAAGCCCAACCAAAAAGCGAGTTCCACTAAACCGAACAAGTTTCCCATGCTCTTTTGGGGACGAGGAATATTGCTCAACCATTCAGTCTCAAGAACCCCTCCTCTAGACTCTAGTAAATGTCGAGCTGCCGCCGTGCCCAAGTACCCGCTGCTGTTGCACTGCCAGCCCTGATCTGTGAGCTCATAGGCCTGGATCGAACCAACCGCTCGTGACGCGTGGGAACCTTGGGGGAACCTACCTGGATTCAGAACTGGGCCACGCATGGCGCTGGGAACGGGTCAATTGTTCATACAGCATTTGGAGTCTGAAATGAAGCTTGAAGTTGTCCAAGTCTCGCATTACAGCTCCAGCCCCAGGCTCTGAAGGCAAATATCCACGACTTTGACACCTCTGTCAAGCCTCTGTCCCTATATATAGAACCATGAGTTCATCCACCAGCACAACCCTTCGGCGCCTGTTTTACTTGGGAGCGCATACTGTAGGTCCTGCAACTTTCTCTGGAACACATTGCATCCGCTCAGCAAAAGTACAAGCTCTTAAGCTGTGACACAATCTGATCTTTGCTGATTTCCATGAGAACCTTGAAACATCTCCTCGCGTCTGTACCCCAAAACGTATGCCATGTACTTCCACAACAAAACCTGGTCACTGACCGCACCTGTATCCCGAACGACAAAAGGTGTCAAATTGACATTGTCGTGCTTCGGGCAATCATATTGCTCATTCATGCACAAAGCTGGGATGATGACTTCTGTGACGCAATAGGCAGGTAAATGCACCACTTCTGCTGTCTTGGTTGCAACATTCTGAAACTTGTTCCATCTTGGTTGCTCAAAAACAGTGCCAGCAGGAATCCCGCAAAATACAGCATCAGGCAAACAACTGCGAATCCGAAGACGAACGGCATGCGGTGCGGAAGGCATGTCTCTGTCATTGGTTGTGGCAATTGCAGCCTCCACAATTACGTGTCCATTTTCCAACGAGTAGAAGAGATTGCGCTGCAGATGAGGCAGACTGTCCGGGACCATATCCAAACCAAGCATAGCAGGAGTGCAATGCTAATGAAGACCTGTTTTGATGCCAGACAGTTGAGTCAAAGCCTGAGCACCTCTCCCCAGCAGCCTGGAATTCCTTCTCAAGCTCTCTTCCTCAAAAGTGTGTTCATCCCTGCTTGCAGCAGCACTTGCCGGTGCTGCTGGGGGCAAATCAATCACGTAATGAACATGCCGGGTTGGAAGTCCATACATGGCCATCACGGGTTTCCTCATATCAGAGCGGTGGTCATAGCTTGACAACGAATGCCACTCCAAAGACCTGACCAATCTCTTGAAAAGTCCAACTTCAACCGGCGGTCCATACCTTTGCGCAGTATCCAATGCAAACTTCAGCTGTTGAAATTCCTCTGACGGCAGGTGCGCTTTGAGACTCTTGACACTAGTCTGCACCACTCGAAGCTGCTCTTGAGGATCGGTGATCCATACGATGTTCCTTTCCCCCAACAAGGTCCCAAGATAACCTGCCGGCATCACATAATCATGGACCACACGAGGAAGCACGGGAACCGGATCACCTGGGTTCACCAAGCTAACAAACGCATCTTTAAGTCCATCCTGGCGCAGGTTCGCCTGCACAACTTTGTCAACCAAGAAGGGTGCTGCAAATGTCAAACAAACGACCGTTTCGCCATTTCCTTGCAGCAGCCGATTGATAGCCCAGGCTTGAGCAGCGCCACCACCGAGCGAGTGCCCTGTGACCACGAGCTTTGTAGCACTGCGATGGATGATTGGTGCTGAGCGTGCCCTTTGAAGGAAGCCACTGTGGGCCGACCCTTCACACAATGGGCTGATCTCCGCGGAACTGATCCTCAAATCCGTGATGATGTCTTGCAGGTCAGCTGTCCCACGGAAGACCAGCCATCTGATGACATCATTCAGAGCAAAGAATATCTTTCCGTTCAAAGTTTGCACAACTTGATACTGTGGCTCCAGTGCCAAAAGCTGTTCAGCACATTCCTTGTAGCTGAGGTCGCAAAGGCGATGTGCTTCCTCCAACAACTCAACGCTGAACCAATCGGGACCCTGCATTGGAAACCGTGAACGTCTGGGCGCATGGGGTTCAACTCGGAAGGCTCTGCTGAGAAGCCAAAATCCAGCAATGACCATGTGCCTTTTCACAAGTCGAACGAACGAAAGAACCAAGTAGCAAAGCACCTACCTACCTAGGTCAAAAAAAACTACGCAGTACACATGTGTTTCCTATGATCATGAAAACTGCAACTATGGTTTCAAAGTTCCCCACCATCCCTTTCAAAACATGTATCCCGTTTTGGTGCCTGACTTACGCGGCAAAAGTGCTCCAAAAGAAGTGTGGCAATCTCAGTCTGGGCTACATATGCAGATTCAGGTGTTGTTTTCATGTTTTCCATCTTGTAGCTGGCTGGAAGGGTAAGCGCTCTTGCTCCAAGAAAGGAGCTGAGTCACTGAGGGGAGCCTTAATTCCAGATAAGATTGTTCATTACAGGAAAGTTGTCTGTCAAATCTTGAAAAAGACTGTAAGAGGTCAGGTAGAAAAAGCGCGTCGAGTTGCGTTGTTTGCCTGCCGTTGATTTGTGAATGCTGCGTGGTTTTACCATGTTTACAGTCTCTTGGTTGAAAGAGCCTCCTAGGGCAAAAACCCTTAACAAACAAATGAAACGGATCAAGTAACTCCTGCTTCAGATTGATCTGATATTCCTGTTGGAGTATTTAGGGGAACTTCTGTGACACTGGTTGGTTGAAACCGTTTTTCCCCAATCAAATGAAAGCTTGGGGGCCTTTGCCCAGATTGGCTCCAAAGTGATTCGGAGCGGCGGCTTCGTGCGCTTTCAGGATCTCTTTTTGGGGGTGCTGTTGGAGATATCGCCTGGGCTTCGTTTTGTTCGCAATTTGCTATGAGCCGCTCTCATTGGCAGCTGCTTAGTTTTCCATGGTAAGTGCCTCCTTCTTCAGTCAGGTAAGGTGGGGGTGGGGGGCTGGTCGCAAGCCTCTATGGCTGACGCGTGGTTCGTAAAATGGCAATGGTTTCCGTTTCGCTTCCGTTATACCAACCAAAAGGAGACCTTTGTAAAATAGAGTTTCGAGCCCCCGGTGACCTACTGGTAACCGGAAGCGCTGGATTCTCGCTAGTCCGAGCGCCTCTGTGAGGTTCACCGGGGGTTCAGAGCACACCAGGCTGCAGTTCGGCACCGCATAGTTTGCCTCCCCAGAAGCGGTGTTCTCCACGTCGCCTCAAACGGAAGACAGGGCGTGGCTCGTTTTTTTTAACGCTCGGCTTCTCGCTTTTTTTGGGAGGCTTTGATAACGAAGGCGAAGGGAAACCTCCCATTTGTAGGGGAGTCCTTATTTTAACGCACTCCCATCTGCTTCAAGCGTCGCGAATCCAATGCACATGCAAAGCACAAACAGACAGTGTAGTGTAGGTTTGTCTCAACGTTCATTGCGTGTCTGCCTTCACGACGGATGCCTGGACTGGAGACAGCGCCAAACCGAGACGTCTGGCCAGCACCGGCCTCCCTTGCCACCAAAAGTAATCAATCCCCTGATTGGCACCCACAACTTAAAGCCAAGCCACCCACATTCCCTTCCAGTTTTTCAGGTGTCCTGACCTTTGCCCTCGCACAATGACATCATGCATCTCAGCTCAGCCCCTCTAAGTTCCTGCGGAAAGCTGTCGCTAAGCCCGCGACAACTGGCCGTGGTGGAATTCCCCGAGTACCTGCGACAGCCAACTACGGACAGGAGGTGTGAAAGTGGGCAAAATATCTTTCAGGCGGAGGTGTTAGGTGGCTCCTTCACAGTTTGGAATGCATCAAACAAGTTGATGTTTTGGTTGGCGAGAAAAAAGAAAGCTGAAAGGACCAACTCCGCCATGCATCTCATGGCCGGTCATCTTCAAGCACTCCGTACATATGTGACGAGGAAAACTCCGCCACGTCTTGCGAGCAGGCGTGGTCATGCTGCGGTATGCTTACACGGATTCCATTCCATATACTTTTCGAATCTTTGCAAGGGGCGGTGACAACTTGAAGCAGTTGCCAATGAGTCATGACTCAAGTTGCCCAAAATCAATACAAACGCAAAGAACCACGAGCAGGGTGCCTTGTATGCTTCCTTTAAACATCAACCATCCAAATCCAAAGGAAGCTGAACTAATTGACCTTGGTTCCCAGGCCGTGTTGTGCAAGCCACAAAAACATGAAAAAATAGTGACCCCTTATCACCGAATTCACTCGGGGGAACATGATAGTGATGTAAATACCAAAATGGTTGGTCTCCCCGCCGAAAGGTGACTGTCAAAAATAAGCACACCTGCAGGCAGCTATTTTATCTTACGCACATTCATTTACACATATTCACATGTAATATTATGATGTGCAAACAATTGTACATATATATTTATATTGTACATATATATATATATATTTATATTGTACATATATATATGTATGTATATATATATATAAGGGTGCCAAGGCCCACATCGGAAAACAAACCACCCCGCGCATCCGGCGATCCCTGCGCGCACGGGCTCTGGCAGTGGATCTCGCAGCTCTCCCCAGGGGCCAGCTCCGCGGGGCAGGACACATTCTGCGCGGTTAGGATCTCTGAAACCCTCTGTGAACCGGGCGCTAAACCGGGCCTCCCTCCGGGGGGGGAAAAAGGGGGAGAAAACAACGGAGGTTATGATCTCTACCCCCATAGACTGCTTGCTAAAAAGGGCCTGGGGGAAAACATGCAACAAGAACTGGAGTTTTTATGAGTCTTTTAACAGGGTCAGCCTTGATTTTGGGCATGTGACCTCATTTCTTGAGGGTCAGGGAGACTCCAGTACCCATGCTCATGCCCTTGCACATTCTGTTTGGGAAAATCGCAAAACGTGGGCTATTCAGCACCCAGGGCATTCCTGCCTTTTTGTCCAATCATTTCTGGTATTCCAACAGCTAGCCTCGCAATCTTGCCGGTTCCATGGAACTTCCTACGGGCTTCGGAAATGACCCGTGTGTGATCCCCTTGATAGAAACCACAAGGAATGGTTCACAGGGATCCTTCCCTCATTCTCTGAGCACCAGCCAGAAACAGAAGTTCAACCGTTTTGCTCGGTCTGTGGGCTTTCCCAAGTCGAAAGCTTGGGATTGGGCCCAGCCCTCAAAATGGGTACCTCGGACTGCAGTTCGTCCTCAAAATGGGTACTTCCCTCCAGGTGGGCCTGGGCTTCCCTTTGAAACCAACCAAACATTGATTGCGTGCCAATCAACCAACATGGCTTCCATTTGAAAACAGCGGATTCTGCCATTGTCTTGTGCAAGCCACAGAATGAGCTGGTTTGGCTCCCCATGGTTCCCCTTTCAACAACTCCCACAAGGGGTCCCTCAGAAAGAAAGTCCCATGTTCGAGTCCTTTCGAGGCATGACGAGGCACCTCATGTCCTCGCCAACAAATGAAGCATACACTATACTCCGGCGTATTGCCACATGGGCCACGTGGGTTCATAATTCCAGTCTTCGACAAACTTGCGTCTTCCAACAAGAACTCGTCACAACCATCAACACTCACAGGCCCCCACTCTAACGCCTCTCCGTAGCTTGAGCTTTCAGCTTCCAACTGAGGCTCCGGCGTACTCACAGCCAGACAGGGAGGGGGCCCTGCAAGGCACCTGCGGCCCAAGGCCAGGTTGGAAAGCCGCCTCTTTCCCAAAAAAAACAACCCAGAAAGGGTTCCTTTAACGAGAAAAAGAAACCAAAAACATGTGGCGAAACGCGGGAGAAAAATATGGGGAAGGGGACAACTTTCTATATGTTGGTCCCATGTTGGCCATTCTCATGTCAGAGCTCGTAGAACTTCGCATAAAGACCAGGCTGTGGCGTGGATGATGGCTGGCCGAACCGGGCCACTGGAATTTCCTTCCCACCGTCCCTTTTTTGGACCGGGACTGGCGGTTCTTTCACCGAAACTGAACTCGTGCAACCACCGTCATCGACAAGTTGAATCAAGCAGCTTTACCCCACCTGTGAGCTCGTCATAAACATAGGCAGCTGGAATCAACAGCGAGCAGTTGCCAAACGTCTTCTACCTATTTCTCCTCAAGGTGCCATATGTAGCAACAGCCACGCCATGCCAGCCCATCAAACAAAGCGCAACTGGCAAAAGCATCTGATCCGGCCTGGGGCTACTATACCTTCGCCAAGAAAGGACCCTGGCAACTTCCCTGCCGTCCCCAGCACCCACTTTCTTTTGACGAACCACATTTTCAACGGGTCATGGAGACTCCAGGTAGGTGTCAACCATATATAACTGTGACAGCCCCAATTGGTTGACATATATACCATGGTCAATCACCTCACTTCGGGGTGGAGCATCCAAGATCCGGTCAGGGGATTGAACTCTCTGCCCTTCCACGCCTTGGGCACACAGCCGCTGAGGTTGAAAACTCAGCGAAACACGCCATGGAGAGACGAAGCAAAGCTTCAAGCAGTTAGGTTCTCAAAAGGATTCGGGTTCCCCTGTAAACCCCTAAAAGGGTACCTTGTCAATGCCTTACAAGTCCTAAATCACGGATTTGGAAAGCTTGATCCTGTTGATGGCCTGGAACTAAGGACCATGGAAGTTGAGAGGAATTGTTGCACCCTTGGAGCCTGGGTCCAAGTCAAACACACACATCCAAGGCACGGACTTGACTCCTGGAAAAACTGATTTGGTGTCTCTCTCCACGAAAGAGTTCCCAGGACTCTAAACTTAGAGTCCTGGGATCTAACAAATTTACCCAAAGTCCTGGGATCGGTAGGGAAAACTGGCCTCAAATCAAAGTCTTTCACACACTTGGAATCTTGATGGCCTAAGTCACAGGCACTAGATATACTCCGGTTGCCCCCGGAAAAAGCGACATCTCGGCATGGTGGGATCCGTGCTCTTTCATTCCTGCTGGTGTGTTGAATCCAACTCATGCTTGGAGTGAATACCATCTGTTCGATTAACCTGTGCAGCACAACACGTGTGGAAAGGTGCTGGGGACCTCATGATAGCAAACAACATGTCATATTGCAAAGGCCGATACACAGTTGCACGTGTTCCAGCTGTCATTGATGCATGCTACACTGCCTTGTTGTCCAGTACATACACTTGTACTGGCCCAAGAAGATACAGTGCGGCACTTGGATTTCCAAGTTCAATTCTGCTGTCCAGCTGGACCGGGACTGCTGTTGCTGTTTGAAGCAACAACAAACCATTAGTTGCGGCGAGTGGCTTGAGCGCCAAGGGAGAATCATATGCTATACAATGCATATATGCATATATATATATATATATGTATATATAGAGACGTACGTATATGTACGTAACTGTGGGCCACAATCACAATTAGGCAATCCAAACAATGTGTTCCAAGACCCCTAACACTGAACCCCCAGACGGGTCCTCACCTCACACAGGCGGTTCCCTATAGCCTTATACAAAGGCAATCTGAGGCGTATTGCCGCGTTTGGACAACACACACACACACACACTGTGATGCAAACGCGCGCATGCGCAGTGCACTGCATGTGCACACACAACTGGTCAGGTCCAAGCGGCTCATGTTACAAGCAGCGTCTGGGCCGCAGCTCGTCTCCGCCATGCCAACGTAGCCATCCGCACAGGTCCAGTTGCCGCCGTTCCTGTTGTAGCCTGATAAGCCCCCGGCCCCCCGAAGAAATACAGACACTATACTATACCTTTGCATTTATGCATAGTATAGACATACTCCACAACCATCGACAAAGAGAGGCAAAGAGAGAGAGAGAGAGAGAGAGCGCGAGTGTGAGAGCGTGGTAAGCCGATGGCACAAACCCACTTTGGCACACCAAACCTTTAGTTTGGAAATGTTCTCCGCCTGTGGTGAAAGGCCAAAAGTGAGTCGTGGCATCCTCTGATGGACGGCCAAAGATAAACAGAAAGCCTCCCAAGCAGCAGGAGCGGGAGCAGCCACATGAGGCAGGATGAGTGGGTTGGTAGGTGCTAGCATCCATGTTGTCCATGTAGCAGTTGGAGCTTGTCCTCGGGAATTGGATTGTCGTTCTGGTGGCCTCAAGGTTTTGTCAAATCCGGGAACACCATTCCTGGCATTAGGCTTCACCCGAGCAGCTTTTTTTTCACCGGTGCGTCCAAATTAGTTTGGCGAGTTCACGCGCTGAGGCTCGGGCTGGCTTGGGATTGGCTTCGGCTTGGGAATAATGTTGGGCAAGTTGGGCATAATGAAGATAGGCCAAAGGGTGAAGTGGGTTTGGGGTGTACAGTGTAGGGGATGTGGTTTGTGTCAGATTTGGGCCTGGTAGCCCAGGCAAGGCTCAGCCAAAGTCAAATCCAAGCCAACCCAAAAAGACACCCCAACCCAGCACAACCAACCCAATACCAGACTGCAACCCACCCTAACTAAAACCACATGATGTTTCAAACCCTACGATGCAACATCGAGCTGATGACAACTTTGACGAATCAAGGCGGTGATTCCTCGCGCCACCCATTTTCCACCTTCGACACGAACACCTTCTCCGCGCCTGAGGGGGCTAGAACAGGCTCCTCGCACTGGGGCGTGCAGTCAGGGAACTCGGGGATCTCTGGAGGCTGCGCCGGGTCCTTGGAACTGAGGCGCTGGTCGGTCCCTGCTGGATGTTGGGTATCCTTTCCCAATGTATTTTGGTGAGTGTGCTCTATGTCATCCCACGTACAGCAAACAATAAGTATAGGCCTGCTCACATCAACAATCTGTCTTCTCGGAAGGATTGCGGGTTCTGGCATTTCAATTGGGTGACCAAGCCCAGGTCCAGAATGGCCGCTGCAGGACCGCCCCAGTCCGCCGCATAGCAAGTTTTGAAAACCAAAGCCCCCGAACACGGGCACGCGGAAAAGAAGTGCGGCTGGCTGTCCGTGCAGTTGTTCCCCGCATGGCAGGTCTGGCTCAGCTGGGCTAAAGCAAACTAATCATGGATAAGAATAAGCAGCCCAGGGACAACTGTAGGTAAAACTCCCTTTGTCGGAAAGTAGCTCCTGATGCTCAGGAGCCCTCTTGAGGCCACCCCGTGATTTCATCTTGCTTGGCAGCTGAACATGATGAATGCACCAGGTTTTGCCAAAGGCACATCCCACTGAGCCGGCCCCCCTCCTGCGCACCAAATCTAGCCCCTAGCTCCCCCAGGCTACATCTATTCCGCCAATTTGTCGAGAGCTCTCTAAAGCGCAGGGGGGGAGGGATTCCTGGGACGCGGTGGCACGCCATAAGTCTCCGAAAAACCGTTCATTCCGAAGACCTTCGAACCAGTCCCTGATTCGTTCTCAAACAGTTGTCAAAGTGTCTCGTTTTTGCGGGTGCCATGTTGGTGTCGCTTACACAGGAAACCCCAACTTGCGGCTCTGTGTGCGACGACATGTTGGATTCTGTCTGCTTCCCGACGTATCCAGGGCGCCGTGTTGTCAGCGGGGCAACGGCCCATCACCGGATCCCCCAGGAACGGCAGCTTACAGCGCACCTCGCAGGTGTCTTCTGGTTGCAGCCCCGGGATGCAGCTGTGGATGAACCTCACGGTCGAATCGGACATCCAAAGTGGATCAAAACGGTGGGGGTCCTTCTGGTTTTGCACCAAAGCGACAAGGGTACCTCCAACAACATGGTGGGGTTCCATTTGGTTTCCCTGTAAACCCAGGTGATACGGATATCATGGGTCATGGGTACCCTGAAAAAAACACACACTCGCTTCCCCGTGTCTGGGATATTGAATGCCAGCACGCGAGCAGCACCCACAGAGGAATCCGGAAACATCATGATCAACTAGGGCAATGCAACGTTAGGTCACACGGACGAACTGTTGGTACAACATTTGGGTGGCCACTTGGCCACTTACGTCGTTTCTGAGCTTCAACAAGCCCTGCCCACATTGACGCTTCCAGTCCATAGCCTGCAGCGCCAGGCCGGCGCGCCACTTAGGGAGCATGTCTTTGTTTGCGGGCAATTGCTGTTGGATCTGCTTGCAAGGGAAACCAAAGAGGAAAAAGTGATTTGTCCAGCTGATGTTCTTTTGTGCAGGCCCTGACTTTTGCACAACTTAGTCTTCTATAAACCCTGACACTTTCACGCCAAATCCTTTTTGGGCAACGCTGAAGTAAACATTGAACTTCAGTAGCGGAACTCACTTCGCTCCAGCTCACAGATTGCATAGTGCGAGTGAGGCGATCAAAGTAAACTTTGGCAGCTCCAGTTCTAAAATCGCAGCAGCTCAACGGCATTCTGAGATTCGCAAAAATGCCAAGCACAGTGATCTGGGTAGAAAGGGACACCCTTTTCGGGGTGCCTCGTTTTCGTGGTCAACTCTGTGAGCGAAAAGGGGAAGCAAAAACTGCTAGACACGAGTGGATCAGTATCTTGGCGAGCTAGATGTGCAAGTGCAAGCGGCACCCTTCCGCAAAGCTGTCGCGTACTCATTTTTTGCAATCAGCTTTCGCAATGCAGGCTCCTCCTTTCGCGGAAGCCTGTCAGGAACCTGTTTATGTGAACCTGTTTATGTAAACATCATTTATTGTATTTTGGGCGCTGCTCATAACTCTTCGGGAGCTAAAGGTGCACACGAATGGCATGGCTTTGGCATTTGATGCCTCTGCTAAGCAGGGTTGCCCTATTTTGCGCGGTTTGACAGGAAAGATACACTATAGTATGTGATAGGAATGGGTTGGGAACATGAACACTGTTTGCCTTACTCTCTGCTGGATGCATCTCACTTTCGCCGAAGCCAACTGTGTGAAATCCACAGATTGTACTGGGAGGGAAGCTTTCCCTGGGATAAAAAATACTGGTCGTCCCTTGACCCTCCCACCGCGGCCTGCAAGTATCCGGGTTGGAGAGGCCACCGCACTTCGTGAGAGGCTTGCAGCCTTCAAAGACGTAGCTGGCCGTGCAGTTGTTCCTGGAAAGAATTGCCACACAGGGACGCTGGACATATGGCAAAGCAATGATGGGCAGATGCGTCCTGAGTTAAAAACCTTCCTACAGTGTGGTTGGCGTGCGATACCATTGCAAGATTGACAAATATCAAATGAACATGTGTTGTTTGCCTTGACTTAACCCACAAACACATGCCAAGCCAATCTCAAGATCTTGGGGAACGCCATGCGAGCAGGGCACACGTGGCTGAAGATGGATCCCGAATACCTGCAACTTCCTATAGAGGGTAAGCTTCACAGCTATTATACTATATTGGGAAAATTGTGATTTTTCTGCTGTCTCGCGAAACACTCGTCGCTTGCCGCAGAAACCGCCGCTTCGGAAAATGCATGAAATCGCGCAAAACATCGCCTGTTTGGGAAAAGTTGTCGTCTGGACGGGACAAGTTGCTCCCTGGCTGGGCAAACTACCACTTTGATCTCGCACGCAACTACAAGAGGCTGCTTTCCTGCAACACGGTCGTTTCGCCAAAAACCAAAAAAAAAACATCGTCACAGTGCAAAGGAAAATCGTGTGACCAAAGAGCAAACCAATGCCCCTCAGGAAGGCACCAGTGATGTCTGCGAGAAACATAACATGAGCATGGGAATATTTATCTGCTACACATTGAGGACAGATCGGACATGTTGCTCCGCCTATTTGCTAGAAGGAATATATCTGTAAAAACTGGTCCTCCAGTCATGCACACTTACTTTGTTTCAAAAGTAGGATCCACCAAACCGGGCAGCTCTGGCGTGGGCACTGCGGAAAGAAAGGCGACACCAAAGTTTTGCTCTGGCGCGTTGGTCGACAGGCTTGAAACAAGATGCTCAAAGTCCATTTCGCAGCATGTCTTTTCCCTTATGACCAAGGCGTATGGAGTCGGTTCAAGGATGTTCAAGGACAGATCAAACCTGGCCGTGGACACAAGTTGTAAGGTCACAGATCCGGGGGCTCCGGGACTCCGGGACTATGGAGTTCTAAAGGCTAAGCTCTTCTCCCGAACTGAGATGCTGGCTTTTTGGGAGTTTGGGTCCGTGGGCTTTGGTGCTGAAAAGCAGAACCTAGGGTTCACCTCAGGGCTCCGAAAAGCGACAGGTCCCAAAACACTGCGATCCCTCAGGAGAACCGTTTGGGCCGTCGAAGCCATTGAGTCGGCGGCTGAAAACCTGAACCACATCCTCCAGTTGGAATGTATGGAGCTCACTGGGATAAACCACCCGGCCTGGAATTTCACATTCTTCCAAAAAACCTGACAAAAACCTGAAGTAAGAACTGGCTCCTCAAGTAAAGGACCCACATGGGGGTTCCCTCGCTTCACCCCCAAATCAGTCAGCTCGAAACCCGCAAAATAGGCAAATCCACCGCATATCAAAGGGTTAGTTGACTTCCCTGAAGGAAAAACAACTGACCCCCCCCCCCCGCTCCCCCCCGCTCCCCCCCAGAAAGGTGCTTAGAATCGGTGAATTCAAACGATGACTAATGACATCATGATCAAGGACAACGGTTTTGCGAGGTCAAATTTTGGATTCCAGACTTACCCTCCCACCATAGCCCGCGAAGTTCCCAAAGGCTCCTCTCCGTGTCCACAAAGCATCTGGCCGTAGCATCTCCTCCGAAGCCCTCGGCGCAAGTCCAGCCTCGGAGGAGCGTAGCTTCGTGGCGCTGTTCGGAACGGCGGGCCTGGAATCTTTTAGGTCTCATGGAACATGATTAGAGTTGGGCCCAGCTATAGACTGTATACTGTATTGCTTGCTTCACTTTGAGCCACTGGTAAAATGTGAAATGTATCCTAAGTCTACCCCATGAAAGAGCTTCGGGTTTTTCCTTCTTAGTTGTGCTGCAAATTATGTTGCATTTCAAGTACGGCAAAAGGCGGGCCGGAACTGGAAGCAAGTCAGTCATGCCCAAGCAAAGGAGAGAAGCAGTTTTTTTTTTTTTTTTTTTTTTTAAATTGCAGCTAGTCTTCATTAGTCTTCCCAAGGGGGGGGGAGTGGAGGGGGGCAAACGGCGATGTTGAAGCCACCAACAAGGAAATCGGACGCTGTGCACGGTGCCTGCCTTGGAACAAGGGCTGCAGTGGGGGAATGGCAGGCAAAATGGCATCCGCACGCGTCACGCATTTTGAACACCGATACATGTCCACGCCATTCATGTTTGATTGATAATCCTACAACTGCATGGCGATATAGCGCAATACATCAGAGCTATATGTATATACCTACTGCCGTAAAACTGCTACTTTTCATCGTGTTTGCAGGAACAGGATCCTTTTGCCAGCTTGGTATTGAAATTCAACATTCGGGCTGGCAGAGCAGATCAAATACTATGCCAGAAATCCCTCAATTGCGCTACTTTTATGCTATTGTTGCATCATTTTTTGGCTGTGCCTAGGATGCGGCGTTGGACATACTGTTCGTAAAGCGTTTAAAACCCGTTCCCGGACCGCTTTGGCGTTCTAAAAGCGGTTCTGGTGCTCAAAAAGCCATTCTGCTGTTGAAAATGCTCGAAATGCATCGTTTCTCGCAGTGACTAAAAAAAGGGCCCCAGGTATACATGTGCAAGCGCCCCCCCACACACACACACACACACACACACACACACACACACACACACACACACACACACACACACACACACACACACACACACACACACACACACACACACACACACACACACACACACACACACACACACGTGCGCGCGCGCGCGCGCCGCACCCGCACAAATGCGCACATGCGCACATGCGCACGCATAGACACAAACATACACACACACACACACGGGCACAGACATGCAAACACACACACACACACAGACACACAGACACACACAAGCACACGCAAACGCAAGCAAACGGAATGAAAACAACCGACCACTGAAAAACTGAATTTACACAAATGCCGCGCTCGTCCCATTCGAGGGAGAATGGATACCATACTTCATTCAACCTGCACACAGACCTCCAGCGATGGAGAAAGAATGAGGCCTTGGCAGTGGATTTTACAGGGAAAACGTTGAACCCTCAAAACGGAAGAGGAAGCCCTTGCGAGTTTTGCCCGAGCTGCTGTCATTGGCTGGAATGTGGCTGGCAGGGGCCTGGCAGCTCGCTCTCATGGGATAGGGGTTGCCCGCTTGGATGGAAAGGGGAAACTAAACGGAAATCAAATGTTAGACGGTAATTATTAGTTTAACGATGTTTAACGAACCAAAAGGACGTTCACGGAAATCAAATGCTGGATGGTATTAATTCAGGGGCGAAACCAAAGGGAGATCAACAACCTGCAGGAATCAGCCCCAAAAAAAAAGAAACACTCAGATGATGCCTGGGTCCCTTGAAAGGCTTGGTCGCTTGGTACCTGTTGACCCCGTTTCAGACCCCCCAAGAACAAAATCGTCTACCATGGCTTGAACCTTCTGGGGTTCTCTGAACTCCGTCCCGATCGTCATGGATGATGTGGCTCTCGGCGACTACATGTCACTATGCCAAAACGGATTGGTGATCAACACCTGGCTGTTCGAGGCGTGTCATGTGGCATGAGCCCAAAGGATTACATGGGTCAGGTCTTTCCAAAGACTCCTCGCTTCTTTCTCCGTGCCAGTGAAGTTCTGATCAGTTTGAATGCAATGAGCTTGACCACTCACGCCTATGACTTGTTCGTTGATGCTAATAATAGCTTTCCACAAGAGCCACATTTTCCAGAGGGCTGAGCCAGCACACATGGGATGAATCTTGGAGCAACACAGACTGAAACCTGGCTCATGAGACTTGTTGTTTTGGTATCCCACCTCCCCAGAATCTCTGTTTGCTGTAGTTTCGGCCTTTGCTCACAAGCGTGTCCAAA